TTTACGACTAGCCTTAATCGAAAGTTCTCTCTTATTATTGGGAGGGGTAATTAACTATAGGGGCTTGCGCCTATAGGAAACCAGAACTCAGATCAAAAAGTCCTCACCAAATGAGGGCGAAATCTCTGGGTAGTGTCTTATCTAAAACCCAATCTGCCTTCTGAAAATTCCCCCGGAACCTAATCTCATTAAAGCTCTTTGTCGTCATCGTCACACAAACACTCAAAAGAAAAATAGACAGATGGCACGAAGAGGCCGGGATCACACACATAAAATGGAATTTTCGGAGCCCACATGTGTAATTCGAACTTCTGATATTTATCAGTTTGTTGTCCCTGAGGCTTGCATATCAACACATGTTGAGCTTAACATTTATCCGGCATAAATTTTGAAACCTTCTAGTCATCTTCTGATAGTTTATGGTGGGTTTCTGCAGACATTGGTGAGGTACCAGTTACCGGTTGTGGTGATTGTTTTTAACAATGGAGGTGTTTATGGTGGTGATAGAAGAAATCCTGATGAAATAACTGGTCCATACAAGGATGATCCTGCTCCTACCTCCTTTGTTTCAGGGGCAGCTTACCATACTTTGATTGAAGCATTTGGAGGAAAAGGCTATGTTGTTGAGACACCCGAGGAACTTAAATCTGCGCTTTCTGAATCTTTCTCTTCCAGGAAACCAGCAGTAATTAACGTTATAATTGATCCTTATGCTGGTGCGGAGAGTGGGAGGATGCAGCATAAAAATTGAGGTATTATTTTGTGATCATTTGTGTTTTATAATGTTACATCGGAAGCTAAGTTTACTTAAAATGTAATTTGTGTTTAACCGTCATAAATTGTTAGACCCAAGCCGTTCAAAAGGATGTAACACCTGCTGTAGGTATATTTCTGAAAGCAATGTCAGCTGATGCCAATGTGTCTTTGAATAAAAATAAAGTCAATGGGATGAAGCTTGGTTTATTTGCATAATTTACATATCGACCTGCTAAAAATCTTGCCTTTCTTGATTATGAAACTCTGGTTTCAACTGTTTTTGTTTGCTGAATGGTTGCGTTATTGTCTCTTTATAACATGGCTATTATATTAAGAATCCTGTCTTTTTTTTTTTTTTGAATTTACCCTAATGAAATTTAGGCTTCATTTGGGATGGCTTTCTTGTTGATTTTTAAAGAAGCCTTTTAGTAAAAAATTTGTATTAAAAAGTTGCTTTAAAAAACAATAAAAAAATTGTCCCAAATTAAACCTTGGCAGTGAAAACCAACAACAGGAACAATGAAAAATGATTAAATTGTAGATTTAACTTGTGGTTAAGCAATTAGTTGTGAGTTCAGTCCTTCAATTGTTGGGATCAAATAATTCTTTGTATGTTGTGGAGCTTACACTTTTATTCCAACTATTGATGCTCCTCTATGCAGCCATGTTCTTTCTTTAATATTTCATAATAATGATTTTACTGAGGTAGTGGAGGAAATAAAGGTGAAAGCAAAAACCGTTGAGTTTCATTTGTCATATTTTCTTTTATATATTTTGGCTCTGCTTATTTTTTTGATTTTTTCTTACATAATAAACCATCATTATTGGTTCCAAGACTGAGTGAGAAGTATGTGTTTATGTTAAATCCTTGTGTCACATTTACATTCCTCGTAGAGTTTATTCTATAGCTTACAAATGGCTATCTGTCTGTATGGAATGAGCAAAATATATGTGGTCCCTAGATAATTTAACGTCATATATTCCATGCAAGCATAAATACAATATATGCAGAATATCCTCTAGTCGGGTACATTTGAATTGAGCAATTGGTTTTGTCCCCTCATCTATTATGCATAAGCAATAGGAGAAGCTCTAATGGTCATACGAAAAAAGCCTCGGTGATATGAGAGCGCTCTGGGTGCCCTAGCAGCCCCTTCCTCTCGCCCTCGGAGTTCCTTTTCGCCTTGGCGCCACTGGCCTTCTACCGGTGCCTATCACCATGGATCACCTCTCTCTCTCTCTCTCTCTCTCTCTCTCTCCCCCCCCCCCCTCCCCCCCCGCCCCCCTCCCCCCTCCCCCCCCCCCCCCCCCAGCTAATGACTCCATTTCTTCACCCCCTGCTTCAACCCGTGCTTTAGACCACCTTTGGTCTAATATCATCGTAGAGCCTGAGCCTTCCTCACCTAATATACCGGTCTCTCTCATGGAAACGTCGGAAGAGATCATTCCTTTCAACGAAGACTTCACTGATGCAGCTGCTATCGATTGGAGTCTCTGCCTTGTCGGATACTCTATCGATAAGAGACCTTACTATGAAACTTTGAACGCCACTGCTAAAAGGATCTGGAAACTCAAAGGTACCTTTCAACTTATAGCTCTATCAGACGGTTTTTTCCTCTTCAAGTTCTCTTCGGTTGAGGATTATGATATGATGTGGTCTAATGGTGCATGATTTTTTCATGGAAAACCCTTTATCGTTCAGAAATGGTCTAAAAAGTTTCATCCTACTAGGGAAAGCTTTACCTCAGTATCAATTTGGGTTAGGATTCATAACCTACCATTAGTATGTTGGAACTCTAAAGGGATTTCTAAGATAGCCTCAAAAATAGGTATTTCTATTGCGGTTGATGCCTTAACAGCTGCTAAAACTAGGCTAACCTATGCTAGGATATGTATCCAAGTTTCCACTTCATCTCCATTTCCGGAAACGGTACCTATTGCTATCGAAGGTGAAGTTTTCAGATTGCAAATTCAAAATGAATGGAAGCCCTCCCCTTGTACTACTTGCAATTCCTTAGCTCACTCTTCATCCCAATGCCCTGCTAATCCTCAAACCCAACAAATCGATCAAACAAATTTTAGGGGTCGGAGTACCTCATGGAATCCCCGCAGGAAAACAAAATTTCGTCCCAGGCCCGCAACGTTAAGTAATGCTAAAATGGATTCTCTGAATCCTGATTCCTTGCAGACAAATGTACTCCAGCATAGCCTGCCTCCGTCTGTCACCTCTCTTTCTTTGGTGCCGTCCCAAGTTGCTTTAACTACTGCTCCTGTTACCGACAGTGTTAACACTCCTATTGTTCTGCTGGATACGGACAGAGTTCCCATGCATCTAGCATCCCCCTATTATCGTCTCAACAAATTCAATTCCTTCCCTTATTTTTCCTGAATCCTCTGTCAATTCGGTTATACCTAATCTCAACTCTCCAACTGATGAATGCCTTGTAGATTCTGAGATAGCCCAAGTCCCTTCTGCTAAACCACCGATCATCCCAATGAGCAATAAGTTTGCTTCTCTACAGAACACTGAAGAATCGGCTTTTAATAGCGTTGAAACCGATTGCTCATCTTTTTCTGAGCCATCTTTAAACAATAGTGGGAAAAAAGGTAACCCCTCCAATCCCAAAAATATTAGAGCAAAAGGTTCTAAAAAGCCTCCCACCCCCACCTCCAAACATAAATGATCAGTCCAACTATAGCAGTGTGGAATACTAGAGGATTTGGCTCCTCTGATAAGGTGTCTTTTTGCAAAACGTTAGTCCAATCTCTCCAGTTGGACATGATTTGTATTCTTGAGAATAGAATATAGCTCTTGGCCCTCTCTGATATCATATTTTTTAACAGTCATTTGATTTTTGATATGGAAGCTAGCTGCAATAACTTTCACTGTGCAAATCCTGGTAGGATTTGGATTAAATGGTCTACTAACATGCTTACTTTTAGGTCTTTCTTCTTTTCCTCCCAAATGGCAGCAGGAACGGTTGTACATGGTTCTAATCCACCTTTTCTTCTCTCGGTTATTTATGCTTCTAACCACCAGGATGGCAGAAAAGCTCTTTGGGATTATTTAAGGTCCATCTTTCCTTCTAGGGGTACCCCTTGGATTTTAATGGATGATTTTAATTGTTGCAGGTTTCCTTTGGACAAGTTAGGAGGAAATGTGTTTCATCAAAATCATCTTTTTGATTTTAATAATTTCATCTTTGGCTCTAACCTCCATGATTTAGGGTCTATTGGTCCTTCTTACACTTGGTATAATCAGCAGACTGATAACCCCATTCACATTAAATTGGATTAGATGTTGATAAATGATGATTGGTTGACTTGTTTTTCCAACTCTTACTACATGATAAAAAGTCCTGTGGGTTCTGACCACTGTCCTATTATCCTCTTGCCTGGGGAAATTTCTACCACAAAGCATCGTTTTCTTTTTAAAAATTATTGGCTCAATTATGAACAGTTTTGGCATTTGATGTTTGATATATTTTCTGTCAAATCTAAAGGTAATCTGTTTGTTGATCTTTGCTCTAAGCTTAAACAACTCAAGGTGGCTATTAAAAGGAAAATTTGGGCTACTTCTAATTTGATGGCTGATCATATCAATAAACTCCAAAATAGGCAAGAAGATTGTCTTGCTAGCTTGCACCCTGATCGCAATTTTGTTGAGGCCTCATTGGCGTTAAAAAGCATTAATCAAGAATTAGCTGTTGCCTTTTCTATGTGGTTTTCTTGGATTAATCAAAGGGCAAAAGTCAAATGGATTTCTCATGGGGAGGATGACCTCAAATTCTTATATGCTAGAATTCAATTGAGGAGGAATTACAAGAAAATTGTTGTCTTTAGCTATGCCTAAAGCTAACTCCTCTTTGCCTGAGGCTATTAATGAATCCATCTCTTATTTCAAAGATCTTTTTAATGCTTCTCAGGATCTGGAGTTTCATATTAACCTTTTCCCTTCTGGAAATGTTATTCCTTCTGATTTTATTAATTCTCTTATTGTCCCTTTTTCAGAAGCTAAAATCAAAAAAGCAGTTTTCTTTGGTGCTCCCAATTCTACTCCGGGGCCAGATGGTTTTAATTTTGAATTCTTTAAATCTACTTGGGTGGTTATTGGTCCTACTTTCTGCAATATTGTCAACTATTTCTACAAAAATGCATATATTCCCCGTATGACAATGGCTACTGGTATCTCTCTTATACCCAAATCCAGTAATGCTGAGGTAATTATTGATTTTCGTCCTATTTCTCTTTGTAACACCTCCTACAAGATTATTGCTAAAATTTTGGCTGCTTGAATGAAACCCATTATGCCACATATTATTAAACATAATTAAGCTGGGTTCATTCACAAGAGGATTTCAACGGATAATGTTATTCTTGCTAATGAAATCCTTCTGCACTCAAGGAAATCTACCACATTCAAGCTTATGTGTATCAAGCTAGATATAAAAAAAAGCTTTTGATAGTGTATATAAAGAGTTTTTTATTGCAAGGATGGTGCAAAAAGGATTTCCTATTTTGTTTGTCAATTGGATTGAAGCTTGCATTAAGGATTTTTGGTTCTTTTTATGCATTGATGGGGCTTTTGAAGGTTTTTTCCCCTCCACTTCGGGGCTTAGGCAGGGGTGTCCCCTAAGTCCTTATCTTTTATGTATTGTTATGGATGCATTTTCCTGTTTGCTTGATTGTAACACTATGGATAATTGCTTTGAAGCTCTCTATACTGGGGATCAGAGGCTTTCCCATCTTATGTATGTTGATGATCTAATTATTTTTGGGAAAGCTGATGTTAACAACTGTGAGAAACTTAGCCAAATAATTAATAATTTCTCTTTGGCTACTGGTCTGGAAGTTAATTTTGGTAAGAGCTCCATCATCTTACCTCCTAATTGTCATTCAGTTGGTCTCATTTGTTCAATCTTCAATATTCCAGCTACCTCCTCTAACATTTTCTACCGTGGGGTCCCCTTATCACCCTTTAATCCAAAGCTTGTTAGCTTCTCAAAACTGATGGAAAATGTAATCTACAAACTTTCGGGTTGGAAGGCAAAAGCCTTATCTTTTGCTGGCAGGCTGCAATTCCTTAGATATACTATTTGAAATATTATTTATTATTGGATTCATGGGTCTATTATACCTAAAACTATTATAAAGCAAATTGATAGGTTATGTGCTAAATTTCTTTATTTTGGTGAAACCTTCGGGCGGAAATTGCATTTGATCTCTTGGCGTAATACCT